ATCTATTGGAACCACTGTGATGTCATCTGCAAATAACGTTACGCCAAATGAATTATATCAAAAAAGATGGCATGAATATTTTTAATATTTAGATATTCTTGTATAGATGTAATGGTACTTTTATCACGAGGGTGTCTGATAAGTGCGTTTAACTACAGAAAGAGTAGCTCTTTTTTCTACATTGAAAAGCTAAGTTTGATTATTTTTAAAACTTAATTTTTAATTTATTTTATACTGAAAAAATGTCATGACTATGGCTTGTGCAAATTGTGCTGATTGAAACTCAGGTGAAAAATTTTAATTTATTCTCTCTTCAATTCTGCGACAGCGTTAGTGTATCAGTTGCAAAGGGAAGGTTCGATTCTACTTTCTATTTTAAATGTTAAGAGTTTGGAAAAAGTATATAATTTAAGTAATGGTCCGAGCAAGAAGCAAGCAAGCAAACGGCAATTGAATGCATGAAGGTGCTAATTGTGTATAGTATAATCCATCCATCCCATTGGTTTAAACAAGAAAATCTTCTATAATTTCAMAAGTTATCRCATTTTCTAATATTTTATTTCATATCTGATTCCGAATTCATGAAAGCTTTCTTTAGCTACAATATTAAGGCAATTCTATGTGGGGAACATAGCAAATTAGAAGCATTTTTTGGCTATTGTTTTGAGTGCCTACGATTGGACAAGATCTTTTAATACAAAAGAAACTTTTTTTCAAAACAGAGTTTATTCACATTTTATATTAAAAATCTGTTTCCCATAGGTTGATATATAATCAGTGTGAAAACCAAGACATTCGTATGTGGGGAAGTTGCAATTGCCGCAGAATAGAAAGTTGCCTGCTTTGTTCGCGCATTGTTACTTAAATAACTCCTCCTTTTTTATGATAAGCAAATTATATTACTATACAAGATAAAGCACGTTACCACTTAATCTTTTTTTATTATAGCGAGTGACTTCGAATAGCATGTCTTTTACAATTATAAAGCATAAGTCTACAGACCTTACCTGATCGCTTGATTATTTCCATTACGATAGGCTGTTGTCGTGGTCGTAGATCGTCAATTGTTTTAACTCTGAACGTATTTTCAGGTTTAACTATTGAAGTGATTTGATTTTTCTTTGTCATACCAACCAAAATCAAATATGTCTGGATACCCATATAATTTAAGGAATTCGAAATGGTACTTAATGCTTTGTCAGGAACTGGTTGTAATTGGTCTTTAACACTCAAAACAACGAGTATCTTTGGGACGTCTCTCATGCTGTTTTTGAATACTTGTAGAGAATCAACGAATGCTCTATCAGCTCTTTTTTCTCCTCCAATATATGGGGCTTTGTCGATTTTTTTATAAAATTCTGTTTGATTTGCATATAAACCAAGCCAAAAGTTAACCCGTGAGCTTGAACCATACGTCACTAATCCTGCTCGGGATTTATTAGACATAACGTTCAGAAGCCTTGCAGTACTTTTTACAAAATCTTTCAATCTTTTGTATTCCCCTGTATTTACACTTGATGAAGAGTCTAATGCAAAGACGACATCTGCTTCAACTTGAAGTGGTTCTGTTTGTACTTTATAAGAGAGAATGCAGATGTTAAAACGTAACTAGATTCATTAATTTAAAATCTTTATAATCAATTGCCCTATCGTATAATTACGTCACACCCAAACATTCAATCGTCTTAACACCAAGGATTATGGTCGCCAGATGGGGAAAGAAGTATAATTCATAGTTCTGTGGTGCAAATACTGATTGATTGKAGCTGTCATGCACTGCTATAATAGGAAATTAATAAAAGAGTTTCGCCTGTAAAATTTAGATCTCCACCCAAAAATAATAGTCCAAAGTAGCCTCAAACTCAATGATCTTGACAAAGCAGGATCTCATTATCCCTTCTTCTCGTGTAGGTAATCCTAATCCAATTGACTTATTATCAAATTCTCTGATAATGTGTTAAACTGAAAGTAAAGTTTTAATACGCACCTTTACATGTGTCCAGTACAAGATTTTCCACTCTATTCAGAAGTTCATTGAATGACATSATTTTGATAACACTTTTTCTGTTATTAGTGATCAAGGTGAGTTCATTTTGATCAACATTTTGACCTACGTTTATTAAGTGCACATGCACTCCTTCTTTGTTCAGTGTGTCTATCATTTTATCTCGTGATGATATATCTGCTTTAGTTTGTTTTCCTACTGTTATAACTATCGCTATTCGTTTCACGCCTCTTCTTGCGGTACCTTTTGGTCCAAATAAGTCGCTGTGTGCTTTCTGAAGGCCAAGATCAATCCTAGCATCTCCACCTTGACGAGGAATAATTTTCAAAGCTGTATTAAAATTTTCGCTGCTTCTGTAGTCTTCAAAATTAATTGCTGTTTTAGCAAAAGTATTGTAAAAAACTACAGCAGCACGTGAATGGAGTGACAATCGATATCCCTTCGCAAATTGTCCTACGAACGATTTCATTCTTTCATAATCTTTTGGTAAAATGCCGTTTGACGAGTCAAGCACAAAGGCCATATCTGCAGCAGCAGTGCAGGATACAGGGACTAGAAATTAATAATAACAAATATCACGTTTTTTATCATGTTAATATTTATTGCACTAATTTTGTCATATACCAATTTCAGAGTTACTTACTAGAAAAAATTTGCTTTGCAATGTGTTTCACTCTCGGTAATAGATCAGAAAACTGTTCTACAGTAATGATGTGATTATCTTCCTTGACGAGTGATCTCAGCTCATTTAAACCTGAATCAAAGCCAATGGGTATTACAAATGTAAAAACATCGGGATGATTGAGATGTAGTAAAATCCTGTTCAGATCATTAGCATCCGCACTTTGTTTGCCAGCCGTTAGAAACAATACAATAGTAGGAACGTGAGGCCGCGCTTTTGCAGCATGTCCTTCAGCAGCCTGTAAGGACCAATAAAAGGATASAGTAAATTACACGAAAAAGGGAAACGCAATATTTTCTTAATAATATCTATATCTATATTTAAAATCAATCACGGCCTAATTTTGATTCTAATTAAAAAATATTTTTGATTGATTGATTTTTTTCTTAAGAATTTTGTGTTTTGCATAGAAACATTGGATTTAGGGCTCGATTGATATTATGAACCAGTGCAACGCACATAGCTCGGTTCTGCAAAGTTGGTAATRCAAAATCTCATTAGCTTTTACAGTAACAAAAGATGTTATAAATATCAGGAGACTGATTATAAAATAAAAATTAAGAAGACTAAGAATACCTTTATAGCCTTGTCCATCCGTCTTTCTCCGCCAACATACGTTGCACCGCTAACTTTAGCTTCAAATCCGTCGCTTTTATAACCATTGAACGAGAAGGCCGTCTCGGCTTCCCTACCATATGTTATCAAAGCAGCTCGACTTTTGCCAGAAAGCACATCTAGATGCCTTGCTATTTGTTTTACAAATTCTTTTTGGCGTACAAAATTTGACTGCGAAACTTTAGTAGAAGAATCAATCACAAAGACGATATCTGCTTCAAAGTTTGTGAGTATACCTAAAAAAGGTTTTTTCTTACGTTAGTTGTTCAAAAGTACACATGTATGTAAGACTTTTTCTGACCTAAAACCGTGTCATCACATACTTTTAAATGTTCACTTACCAGTATTTTCTCTTATTTGATGAGCGGTTGCTTCAATTTTAGGTTCAAAGTCTCCAAATCCATTAAAATATATAATGGTCTTTCTACCTTGGAGAATAAGTTCCATTTCATTTAACACTGGGTGGTCGCCTATCGCTGCAACAAGAATTGTGGACCCGAGATTGCGAAGCTGCTCTGATGTGCTGGCAAGCTTTTTAGTTTTATCAGATTGACGACCAGAAGTAAACAGTACAGTAATTTTAGGGAGATTCGGTCTAGCTTCCCTTAAAACGTTATATRCGGCTTCCATGCCTTTATCCATCCTTCTTGCACCTTCAGATACATAAAAATACACGTATTTAGAATACATAAACATATCTAAATGCAAAAGTTATACACATAGTCTCGTATGACAACGCTAGATCTAGAAAGGATTGACTGTTTCATTAGTGAATGTTTGGAGTTCGTTTTTGAAGAAATTTTTTGAAAGTATGGAGTATGGAGCCGTCGATTAACAAACAATCAGACTCTGTTAGAGCAAAAGTATTTGTATAATCTTTGTCTCAAAGCACCAAGGTGACAAGTTTGTTTAAGGAAATCTACCGTATTCAAATCTACCTATAAATATAAGCAATGTTTTAAATAAATTCACTTTTTGAAAATGACACATATTGGTGTCGAAACGTCAAAGCTAGTTGTCTTGATTTTTATTTTGAAATGTGTTTCAACAAAAACTTTACAGCACAATTATATCAARTAACTAAAGCATAATTAAATATATGGGCAACATTTCTTTTCCGTATAACGGCACAAGAAAGATCCTTGCCTATGGATATTTTGTATCAATTAGTAAGATAAATGAGAATGGCGCTCTTACGCTGTATTAGTTTTATTTTGTCTTATTGATACACTCTTGGCGTAATAAAATGTTCAACTCCATTGGACGAGTGCAGAATGAGAATTTGTTTTTTACCACATTTTTATTTTAGAAATTGAATATTTTTTTGGAACAAAGCGCGCGCGAGACATGATAGTGTCAGTGTGAGAATCCATACGTGTGGGATTAAACTCTCACCTAAAATTTCTTCTGTTTTGATGAAGACTACAAAATAACTTGGCTTCTCTCATTTCTTACCTCCAATGTATGAAGAAGCATCAAGGCGTCGTTGAAATTCGGATATGTTTTCAGACAAAGCAAAGCTTGTTACTATTAATGCTGCATTTCCGTAGTTTACAACAGCAGTGCGAGAGTTTCCGGGATGGACATTAAGATGTGGAACAAGAGATTTTAAGAAGTCTTTCTGCTTTATAAAATTAGCTTGTCCAACGGTTTGAGAAGAGTCCAAAAGAAATACAATGTCTGCTGAGTAGGTATCCACAGGCCTAAGAACTGCAATTAAAGATGTACAACAAACAAAATTTCAAGCTGACTTTTTTTTGCATGCAATTCTAGACGTAGCATACGTTTCATAACAAGAGGTAATAGGAGAAGATATCACGAAGCATCGCAATCTCTGTTATGTTGTTTGACAACGTAAGCCTGCTATATAGCGTAAAGGGTTTATTTGTATAAGAAATCCACAGATATCATCCAATTCTCCGAAACAGAATAGCTTTAGCCCCTTAAGATATCTGGTACAAAACGTGTGTATACATACCTGAGTTCCTTGCTACTTGTTTTGCAATGTTATCCAAATTTTTAGGAAGCTCCCCGGAGCCTTTAACATAAAATACAAATTCTGGTCTTTTTACTATTTTSTGTAAGTTCGACCGTTTGTGTTTTCTGCCAATAGCAACTATATACGTGTTTGAACCAGCATCCCTTAGACCATTTGCAGCCTTTTCTACAAACGAAATATCAGAGGACAGGTCCTGTCTACCACTTGAAATGAGAAMAGCAATACGGGGTACATCTTGCCTTCCCTCTGTAACATTTACAAAAAAGAAATGAGCGTTTATGTCAGGAAAAAAAAACTAAATTAGACGACAGCCAATATTATACATATATAATTCTTTGCATCTTATTAGAAAGTACTTGTTCTTACACAAAAATACAGATATAGCTCTGGTGTATATCCTCCAGCAATACTTCAAAAATTGGACTTACAACTTTGTTCTGAGCGCAATGAAATCAATTACAGGCAAACGTCGAACTGCTGAAAAGGGGCCATTTTAAGAAAATTTCCCCGTTGTACTCGAACCCTTGATTCTTCTAAACACAATTACGCGTCTTAAAACACTATGCTACTGTGATAGGGGGTAGGAATGAACAACAAAAACTATTTCCGTTCAACCGGGTTGTCGCAGGTCGTTGACTTCACTGTTGAAAAGGACTGAAAAGCAAAAACTTTTATTAACTTTTAAAAAGAACCTAATGTATATAGTTTATAGCCTCCGTTCTCGGTAATTAACTCTTACTTAGAACACTTTATGCATTACCTGATAGAACAGTAGAAGCCAAGTCGAAAGCTAGATCTATTCTTCCAGGCCCACCAATATATGGGGCACTATCTATTAAGTTCTCAAGTTCTTCAACGTCTTTGTACCCATCAAATCTGGTCACAAGTCTTGGTTGCTTTCCATATGAAATAAGTGCTACCCTACTTTTACCAGGCTGTACATTTAGCTTTTTAGCTAAACCTTTCACGTGATCTTTTTCCGCTCCAAAATCTCTCAGATTAATGAAGTCAGAAGCATCAATAAGAAATAGTATGTCTGCAGTTATGTTTAGAGAAGTTTTCACAGGACTTGTTACTGCAAAATCTGAAATACAATATTTTTAAGAATCTTTTAAAAATTGCCATTGCTATTCCGTCTTCAGWAATATTATAACAGTGATATTCCATATAGTGTCTCACAATCCAGTCTATTCGTATCAAAAATATAGAWTTTTTACCACACTTGTGCAAATTGTCGCGCGCTGATTGGCTGATTAGAGTGTGTCAATAAGAGGACATGCACACTGTGCTGACACCATCACGTCTCTCGCGCGCTCAATTGCAAGAAAGGAATGATTTTCGCTAGTTTTTAGATTTAAAATGAGGTAAAAAACTACTTGCACACGGTTTTTCGTTGTATGTCCTCTTATTGACACACTCCTGACGTCATAAAATGTTCAAAACTTCAGTTGCAGTCGCTGTGCTCGTGGGTCCACTTGAGTTGATATTTAACTTATTATTGCATTGTCTTACCTGACCCCTTTGCAATTTCTCGTCCAATTGAAGGAATGAGCAATTTAAGTTTACTAAAGCTATTTACGGGAATTATATCTTGTTGCCTTGAAACTATTTTTTCCAGCTTTTGTTGGCCATAATATCGTCCAATAGAAATAACATAAATTTTGATTCCAGAATTACGGAGTCGATTTGCTGAATCTTCGACTAATTTAGAACTGGCACCAGAAAAGTGGCTTAAAGGAGTAATAAGAACAGCTATCTTTGGAACGCTCTTTCTAGGGCTATCCTGAAACACATCAATGGCCTTTCTTAAAGCTTGGTCAAGTCGTCCAGGACCACCTGTATACGGAGCGGAATTGACCAAATTGTAGAATTTTCTGATAGCATTTGTCGAATCGAACCCAAAAATAATGCTTGCTGCAGATCCATACGTTATCAAAGCTCCTCTTGACTTTCCTTTTGAAATATTCAGATATCTCCCAAGAGAGGAAACAAACTGCTTCTCGTTGGCAAAATCTCCCCTCGTGACGTTTGCAGATGAATCAATTAGAAAAACTATGTCTAGATTGACATTGATTGGCTTTCTTGGTTCTAAAGAAAAACGATGCTAATTAATTGATACAGTTCATAGTACAATAAGAAATAAACGAGCTGTAACAGTATTTCGCATACGTTATTGCTTATGTTTTTGTCCTGTCATTTCTATCTGTTGTTTTTCAGTTACATTTCATAAGAGAAATCAAAGTCTTAATCACACTTATAAATCACTGACCCCAAGTCTATTTCTTTTGAAAAACCAACAGAAAAAGGTGAAAAATTTWAAAATTTCTACAAGAGAGTAAAATGACGGAATTGATAACACATGATTACTGGAAAGACATGATATTCTTTTGAAAGCGAAAACTTTTTTACTTTTTCAAACTAGAAATTTAATCCAAAGATCATCTAAGAATCTCTGTACTCGGCATTTCTACATTTGCTGATGCGTTGGATTGTTCTGGCCATTCCTCTTTTATGTCATAGCCGAACATTCTGTTTAAAAGAATCAAAACGATATGACGTTGTCCTGCACTAATCAACATTTTGGCCTGACTATAAAACATCCCTAGTTTGCATTTTCCCATTTTCTTCTTTAAMCCTTATCAGGCTAAAAATTTCGATACTCAAGCCAATACAGATTGTCATAATTTTTTCAAAATTTTAGGACAATTTGTAACAAAAAAGAACATCATTGAACTAGAACAAAACCAAAAAGATATGTGTTTCGGCACAAGRGGTTGGCGCTTTCGTTTATAGCAATGATCATGTCACATGATCTGTTGTTTCACTTACCTTCACAAGCTTGTCTTACTATGGTAGGACCTCTTACTCGTAGTTCATCATAAGAACCTGTCACGGTAACATCCTTGTTTTTCTCAGTTAACAACCGCATTGCATCTTTGTTGATGTGACTGCCAACGCCTATGGCAAATATATAAACGCCCTCCTTTCGCAAAAGTTGCAAAGCTTGATTAAGTGGTTGATCATTACTCGAAAGGTTTTGTTCTCCATCCATTATGACAAAAAGAATTTTTTGAACTCCACGACGCGACGAACCAGCTGACATAAATGTGCAAAATAAATAAATATGAATGATATAACATAAACAAACAAACAAACAAACAGTAAACACCCGCGWTAAGAACCTTATTTCAAAAAGGTACTTGCTGTTAATTTACGCAAAACAGGTTCTCATATAGATTCTAAATAGCAATCAAGGGGATATGTTTGGATTACAGTAGACATAAAAAGCTGTGACTTTCAACTAACAAATAAACAATCAACTCACAATTCGCAATTCACAATTACAATAACTGTGAAGCTTWGTTCGAGTAATTCTTCACACACCAATAAACTGTGTTAGTAAATTGTGGTCCCTTTCTTATATCAATGAAATTAGCCATAAACTCACGCGAAGAATGCAAAGAATTACGAGACTTGTTAATTTGACTTCAAAATTTKATCTATACTTTATATATGTATTTTGATGACAATAGGACGCTTGAATTCCTCGTCCTTATTAGTCTAGGATATTCTTCTTTTTTCCCTGACGATGCTGTAGTACAGCGAAAGCTAGGATTCCTAAAATATATTTATTCCATCACAGCAGCCCTGGTTACATTTGTATATATTTTCTGTTGTAAAATTAATTAAGAGGTATTAAAATGGCAAATATTTGCCAAGAGTTTATCCACTAGGTTCTTAATTGCGGRTGTTTACTTTATTAAGTTTCATGGTGTCTTTATTATTTAGTACAAGGCGTAAATTATGAGACCGTTACGTACCTGGTCCATACAAATCCAAATACGCACGTTGAATTGCTCGGTCAATTCTCTTCTGACCTTTCCTGTAGTCTAAGTCGTTAACTGACCGCTCAAAACCTTTCCAGTCAGAGTGGTCATCAAAATAGATTTCAGTTCTTGCTGAATCACTATAGGTAATAACAGCWGCGCGTGAATGTGAGGATGAAATGTCGAAACGTTTGGCTAATTCTACAACAATTTTTTTCATCTTTGAATAGTTGAGTAACCCAACACTACTTGAGGAATCGACGACGAATGTAATATCCGCTATTGCACTGCACAATGGCACACCTGAAAAAAAGGGATCGTTATACTATATATTTAAAAATGTATACGTCAAGAGTGCAAATATTAAAATAATGCAGTAGCAAAATTAAGGAATTGGTTCTAGTGCTACACAATTCCTTTCTAATTCCTTTCTTTTAATATTCCAATCAACTCTATTTGACGCTATTTAGCACTTCAACTGTTCGCAAGAAACAAAAGCACTTTTATACTGTGTTATCGTTGGAATGAGTGTCGTTAACAGTGCCCTTTATATTTGTAAAGCTGCCACCAAGTACATAAAATTCAGAAATTTTAATGTAAAAGATTACGACGGGATAATAACAAATCACTTTCACTTACTCGAAGATATGTAAGAAGCTATTTTGGGTGCATGTGGAAGAGCTCCCTCAAAATTAGCAAACATCATTAAATTCTTTTGATTCGTTACATCCCTTTCAAAATTACGATGATCTTGACGTGAACCAACTGCAATGGTAAAGATCTTGGATCCAATATCCCGAAGAGGCTGTAAATATTCTTTGAAAGATTTAGCTCTTGCGAGGCTTCCGTTATTTATTAAAAATACAATTATCTTTGGGACTTCCGGTCGACCATGTTTAATTAACTGCACTGCCGTTGTTATTGCTCGATCTATTCTTCTCAATCCCCCAATAAGCGTAGAGCTGTCTACAAGTCTTTGAAAGTCATATAGGTTTCTATAACTGTTAAAATTAATATTGATCCTTGGTCGGTTTCCATATGTTATCAAGGCTGCTCTTGATTTTCTTTCTTTTATGTTCAGTAAAGCTGCAAGATAGTTGATAACTTGCTTTTCTCTCTTAAAGTCAATTGGAGTTATCTCCTTGGAAGCTTCCGCCACGAAAGTCACATCAGCTGAGAACATAAGAGGTGCCCCTGTAAAAGCGATCGAAACAAAATGTTTTTTAATGTCTTGCAAAGAGAAGATTATTAATATATATATATATATATATAGGTTAAATTTCGCATTTCCAAGGTTCAAAATTTCAAAATTCCTGGGCCTAGCTATTGTATACAGCTTTTAGGGGTCGTTAGCCGCCAAATCAAAAGTATGCTCCGCACTCCTTGTTCTTAATATATACGATTGTTTATCATGGCGTAATGAAATAGTGAAGACTACTTTTTGGACTGTTGCACTCAAAAAGAATGTAAAAAACAATGCCGGCATTATCAAAACTGCGTTCAATTGTTTGCTATTGCTATCCTTGCAAATTCCCCTTAAGCTCGTTCGCGGGGAACAGCAACCTTATGTTATTTAGGCGGGGAGATTCTCAATACAGGACTACTTGATGTCAATATCGGGTTCCCTTGTTTCATACCTCAGCGGTCAAAAACTAGCGATAAGGATAGCTGAGTGATAAAACAATCGGGTATGGAAAGGTCATTCAGGGGTGTGAGTATTGCTGATGGTCCAATAAAGCGGATTTCGTATGACTGTGCAACGGCACGGATCACAACACGGACACGGCACGGTCACGGAACCTCGCCCTCTAGGATTCCAAATAAAAATAAAGATTTAACAATACATCACCGCTACGGCACGGTACGGTCACAGCGCGAGAGTACCGTGTTTTTTGCACAGTAATACCAGGCGCGTAGCGTGGACTTTTTGGCTAGTACGCACATGTTAGGGGGCGAAACATATTTTGRATTTGGGGGTCTAACGACCGCCAGAGGCGGGAGTATTAGGGGAGTCTAGATCTCCCCCAGAAAATTTTGAAATAAATAACTCTTGGAAATGCGATTTCCAGCGTTTTGAGAGACATCGACTAAAATAGTAACCATCACTAAAAGAATGACGTTTCTTTTTTATTGATTAATTTCATGCTCAGAATTTTGTTTATTCCTTAAAAGCCGCGCAGCTACAACATTAAATAATACAATTACAAACTTAGTGAAAAATGGCACAATAAATTGCAGAAAAATGACCACGAGTGATACCCGCGAAAGCCGTTATYTGATTAGAATGATAACTTACCAAGTCTTCGATAAATTTTCCAAGCTATTGGTCTGGCAGCAGGCTGTAAGAGCTCAAATGAATTCACCATAAATACATCATCTGGTCGTTCCACTAGCGGCAAAACACTTTCCTCCTCTAGTTTGGGTGAGATGAATATTACATAGCTTCTTACCCCAAGTTCCGTAAGCTCCTTTCTATAATATTCCAAATCTTCCGGATGTTTGCCAGCTATTATCAAAATTAAGACTTTTGGATAATTATACCTAGCCTGCGTGGCAAGATTTATCGCTAGTTCCAAAGCTCTGTCAATTCGTCGGGAGCCACTTTTCACAAGAGCATTATCAACTAGGCCTTCGTACTCAGCAACAGTGAGATAACCTGTAAAGTTTGTCACTAGTTCTGGATCTTGACCGTATGATATAACGGCAGACCGAGATTTATTAGGGTAGATGTTCACATACCGTGAGACTGTTTTCACTAAATACTTTTCGTGKAGGAATTCACTTGATGCCACTGATGAGGAGGAGTCCATTAGAAAAATGACATCTCCATTAAATGGTGTCTTATCTTTAAACCCTGAATTAATCGCAACAAAGTTTGATAAGTTTGACTTCAAATCTACTATTAGCTATATGAACTTGTGTACATACTACTTAGTCCAGTCCTGATCTACTGTAAGYAACGGTACACAGAGGTAGGGAAAGCTCTATTGTTCTGCCTCAATACCAACTTCCATGCATACGAAAGTTTTCAGTTGTATGAGCAATTTGAGACAATGGCAATCATTGGGTATGTAACATGGTATAATGGTATAACGTGGTATAATGGGATCAGGGATCAACGTTATTTTGRGWTAAGGGATCATGATTTTGGGATCAGGTTTACTGCTGCTGGGATCGGGATCGAAAGATCAGCTGTAACACAATTCTAGGGGATCAGAAATCACATATGAAACGAAAAAAAAAGTGATCATCAACAAAAAAAAAAACAAAGTAACTACCCTGCAGATGTGTCTYTTTTTATATTTTGACCCTACATCATCTCACCTGACCGTTCCAGTATGTTGCTTGCGATTTCAATTGAAATTGACACCAAGCTTTCAAAATTCTTGATYAAAAATATGTCTTCTGGTCGATCAACCATTGGTCTTAGTTCGTAACAACTTGGGTCCTTTCCAATTGCTATTACATATACCAGTGTTCCTTGACGGTGAAGTTGACTTGATATTTCTTTAATGTTCTTCACATCTCTGCCAGATGCATGTTGACCTGATGTCATTAATACAACTATTTTTTGTGTTAATGGATTTGAAAGACTCAGTTCGTTGACAGCCGCCTCTAAAGCACGATCAATTCTACGTTTTCCTCCAACATTTGAAGAGCTGTCTAATATTCTATCAAAGTCCTGAATGTCAGTATAGCTATTGAAACCTATCACTCGCTGATAATTATTGCCGTATGAAATAAAAGCGGCTCTTGATTTTCCGGGTAAAACGTTAAAATATCTAGCCATTCTTTTCACTAACGATTTTTCCATTTTGAAGTCGCTTGCCTTGACATCTTCGGAGGTATCAGCAAGGAAAACAATATCGGCTTTCCAGAGGCGATGAAGTGTTGGATCTATACAATAAGAAGGAGAAGCGCACGTTGATTTAGCCTGATTTTCAGACGGGGCCTGGGTCCTACGCTTCACTCCACCCCCACTTCAGAAGTGGGGGTGGAGTGAAGCGTAGGACCCAGGCCCCGTCTGAAAATCAGGCTAACGTTGATTTAAACAGCTATATTTATTTACAATTTTTGCTCTTAATGTATATCACAATATTATTGCATAAAAACGCTTAAAAATATCTTAATTCAGRTATATTCATGTACATATCGCTTCTGCTGATGAAATTGTGTATTAAAATATGCCAAATGAAGTTGATTAACACTAAAGAAATGTGCAGACTATTTACACGTGCGATAATATCGCCGCAAAAATCGCTCCTCATGTCGCTCGACAATACATCAAAACTTCGATGTCACTCCAGATTCAAAGTATTTCGTTGCAATGGGATGTATGGAGTTCACGGACAGAAAGGTTATGGTTTACTAAGTTAAGATTTTAGTGTCGCATCGAAACATGAAATGATTAGAATAAAAAATATGTACGTTTCAAATTATTACCTCTAGCGCTTGCAATATCCTTAACTACCGACGGAACATTCTTTAAAAGTTGATCAAATGAGCTGAATTCCATGATGTTTTGTAAACGGTCAGCAATGATTCTGAGTTCTTGACTATCAGGTTCAGGACCTATTGCTATAACATATGTTTGGGCCCCCATATCTCCAAGAGAATTAGCTGCATTTTCTAAGAACCTCTTGCTGACACTTGAAGATTGACGGCCTGCAGTTATAAAGATAATGATGTTTGGTACCGATGGTCTCGACTCTATCAAAGCTATTTGGGTGTCTTTAAGTGCATTATCCATTCTTCTTTTGCCACCCATGTAACGTGCACCATCAATTTGCGACTGTAATTGTTGGAAGGATTGATAGTCATCAAATCTTATGGCAATTTTTGAATTCTCTCCATATGTTATGAAGGCAGCTCGGGATCGACCAGTGTTCACGTTCAAATATTTAGATAATTTCTTCACGATCTCTTTTTCTTTTTCGTAATTYAATGCTGACACAGAAGATGATGAGTCGACCACAAATACAATATCTGCATTTAAAAGGCTTGGCTTTCTTGGCTCTGCGCATAAGAAGTAGAACAATTAAACTAAAAAAAATCAACAATGGAATGCTTATCGAAATGTGTTCCGTGCTAAAATCATGAGTTTATTAGGAATATGATTGATCAGTATATTTAGAAAATAAGTGAAAATGTGCAGAAATAAAACTCATTCGTATTAAAGTTAGTAATTTAAACATATACAGATCTCGATAGTTACCTTCACAAGATTTCATTTTTAGCGTTCCGAGTTTCGTTTTTAAGTCATTGAAGGAATGAAGCATCAAAACATCGTTGTCGTTATCAGTAGTTAATCTCAATTCCTCTCTATTCGCAGATTTTCCGATGCCCACTGTAATTATGCGGACACCAGCTTGTTTAAGGGGCCTAGATGCCCGGTCAAGTGATTCGGAGTCTGGTGTTTTTGTTTGCTTGCCATCAGTCAAAATGATTGCAATTTTCTGGAATCCGCGACGTGCAGTTCCTTCAGGACCAAATAAAGTTTGTTCAGCTACCTAATGGATAACAACAATAGAAATCACTATGCTGTGCCATAACCACACAATCTGTTAATAAGCATTTGCTCTATGCAAAACTCATCAACTATCGCCTCTTTGGACTCTTGAGAAAAAGAGCTTTTCGACTTATCATGTTATGTGTGCTGTCTACTGTTATTTTTAACATATTTTTAATATGTAATTTTTGAAGGAATTAAAAGCAGATGAGTATTACTGATAAAAAAATATCCATTTTGTATGACTTCTAAGAGTATTTATATTTAGTTAACCGTGCTTATTTCACTTTTTACTTAGATTGAAGATACAGTCAGCAGGGAAACGATGGCACGAGCGTCAGTACATGATTGACAGTGCGTGTTAGATACGTAATGTTTAAAGTCCGACAATGAGGACTGGACCGCGGTAACTCTGACTGGAACAATTGCGCGGACTTGAAATCCCGTCCAGTCCGAATTGGAGGACTTTGAACGACTTCTCATACTCATTAATTATTCGGGAGGAGAAAAAAGCGAAGGAAATACATATAACAGAAATATATTGATTTATTGCATCTCCACAAGTTTTTCAGTTTTCACAATTTTGAATACTTGAAGCACCGTTTGTTGTTCTTAAATAGTCCTTTCTGTTTGTCTGTCATTCCTAATATGCCTAATTTATAAGATTTGTAAGAAAMTCGGTGATGTAATGGTATAAGACGGCGCATATAGACTGGACGCTAGGGGATCGAGTCGTGAGGAAGAACTTTATCAAAGACCTTTTTCACATTAATTAATGTTAAATTGATTATTTCTAAKACTCTGATTATCATTAGCTAGTAGTAGATGGAAATATGGTAGAAGTAGCTGGAAATAAGGTAGAAGTAACTGGAAATAAGGTAGGTGTACTTCCTCTGGTTTTAAGGGTGTACTGACATATCCGTTGCTAGGGAAATTCAGTAGTTCTCTAAAATGACAAACAAAAGTAAAATCGCTTTCGCATTGAGTGTTAAGCCTTCCCAAACAAAAATATATGACGTCATCGCGTGACGACATTAATACGAAAAAATGCTATAATTTCATCAAGCAAAGTATATTAAAAAAAATAGCGTTTCGCGCGTATTTTTAAACTCTAACTACGTCGCAAATTTCGATTCAATTGCTCTCAAACTTTCACAGAAGTCACAGTGATTATCGAYMATTCTTGTTGATAAATTAATTTGCCAAAAAGCGAAGCCATTTGGATAAACGATGCAAAATAATAAAACCTTCATATTTCTTCAAAATTAATTTTCTCGAAACTCATCGCAGAGATTGTAATAAAATGTTCATAATGTTAATAAATCATTTTTTAATAGCATAATTGATATACTGACGAAGTTTCAATAAAATCTGAACTTAAAATTTCGAGTTGTTCGAATGTACATCATTTTGCTCAAACAACTCGAAATTTTAGGTTCAGATTTTAATGAAACTTCGTCAGTATATCAATTATGTTATTAAAAAATGATTCTGAAAATTTTATTACAATCTCTGCGATGAGTCACTAGTTTCGAGAAAATTAACTTTGAAGAAAAATGAAAGTATTTTTATTTTGCATCGTTTATCCAAATGCCTTCGCTTTTTGGCAAATTAATTTATCAATAAGAATTATCGATAATCACTGTTACTTCTGTGAAAATTTGAGTGCAATGGAATCGACATTTGTGACGTAATTGGAGTTTAAAAATACGCGCGAAACGCTATTTATTACGATCGAAACACCTTAAACGATTTAAAATGGATGAAATCAATCTTTAGAGTTAAGCCCGTAAAGCCAAGCATGCGTTTTTTAGAATGATTGCCAAATAAGCTTTTTACGATTTTTTAAATGCGACAAATAAGCGAAAAATGCCAATAACTTTCGTAATTTTTTATTTTTCGCCAAACCCATGCTTGGTTCTGAAGAGGAAGCTGTGAAGAACATAAATATTGAAAAAACACGTCCATTTGATGTTTCGCACAGAAGATTATAATTTTTAAATGATACCATACATTTTATGTAAACAAAAACCTTTCCACCGGAAGTAAAAATTTTCCCGCCATGAAAACGCGCGCCCGCCCGCTTCTCCGATTGGCTAGCATCGGCTAGCATAGCAACCAGGTCGTCTAGAAACGGATACGTCAGTACACCCTTAAGTTACTGCACGTGGTACAAATTACAATCAGGGATTGCCTGGATACCTCATGAATAATTAATGAGTATGACAACAATTATYATAAAATATATCGTTTTGGAGATGCAACATGTGCATTGATGTAATCATTTTGAAATTGTTAAAAGTAGTCAGAAACCAAAGAAGTCAAAAAATAGTCAAACGCAACAGAACTTGAAATGGTTGCATTTTAATCGAAGTGATTTTTTCTGTTACTTTTAAATTTATCGGCTTTCAGTTTTTCTAGAGAAAATGTCTACTCATCACATTCAAAATGATCTTATGCTATATTAAATAGCGACTAACCTGAAGTGCTCTATCAATTCTTGTTGAACCTTTTTGATGTGGAAGTCCTTGAACAGCTTTTGTGAAATCGTCAAGGTTTGTTTTGTCATTAAAATCGATATACTTCTCCGCATCTCTGCTGTATAAAATGATTGCAGATCGTGATCCAGTTGATGAAATATCGAATCGGCGAGCAAAATCGATGACAAATGATTTTATTTTGACATAGTTCTTGGGACTTATGCTGCCAGAGGAGTCTACCAAAAATGCAATGTCCACGTCGTGTTGGCAAAGTTTGGCTCCTGTATGAGAAGAAAACACACACAAAAAAAGCAAACCATAAAATACTGTTTAAACCATAGTTAGTCTACTAACTATGTTTAAACCATGAATCGTCTATTTCATCTACTATTTTACTTACTTTTTGCGATATATCTAGCGATGGAAGGGGCTTTCAGATTTAATTCTCTAAATCTTTCTATAGGCAAAATGTCAGCTTTTCTTTCCACCATGTGCTTGTAATCATCTACCAAAGGTTCAGCTCCAATAGTGACAACAAAGATTTTAACACCCGATTCCAAAATTGTTTGAACGTCAAGATCCGTTGAAAGTGCATTTGGTCCTCCTTTTCCTGCTGTAACAAATAGCACCACCTTGTCTGTCTGTGAAAATACAACATAAACTTAGTGTCAGGCCTTCGAGCCCTTGGAAGAGATGTGAAGAAAATCGAAGTTTTATGCTGTGTCAAACATCCAGAATTCATTTGCCCGATAGTATGGTGGATACTAAAACAAAGGGTCTTGTGGGCTATTAAATGATTACATCTCGAGGCCGAGAGATCTAATTGTTTTAGTATTACCATACTAGTTGGATAAAAAATGAATGAAATATATAAATAACTAAATGTTTTTATTGCTAAAAATACGCAAAAAGGTGTCCCTTTTCGCTAGTCTTGGACTATTGAAAATAGACGCCAAGTAGCGTAGCCAATCACAACGAAGGATTTGCAATAGTCCACTAGTATACACCTACTTGCAGAAACGTTGTCTTATACTCTATTCACTTATGAACGAGTATAAAACATTTATTACCTAAACTCCATTCAAATAATAAGACCAGACAACATAGTAGGGGCGGGCATCTCGTTTATTCATGACTGATAGTTTGACAACTGAAAAGTATGCATTATACAAGTGGTCATATACAAATTATAAACGGCATTGTTTGACGAAGCTATCACTCATTGTGTTCCAAGGCTGGACGAGCTGATGGAGAACTAGGACTAGTGAAAAAAAAAAACAAAAACAAAAAACAAAAACAACAAAAAACTAAGATTTGTGTTAACGATGAGATGCCTTCGAATGGCAATTCATTCATGACTCACACCTTAAGTACTCTGCATATGTAAATACCCATGGGATGGGTATTGCAAAACTTCGTTTACTTAGTCACTTATACTTAAGTGCTGACACGCGTCAATACCTCCCTGTGTACATTCCGTACCGCTAATAAATATATATAGAAAATAGAACATTTGAATTTAGTAAAAATGAATTAATTAAAACAAGACAAAAGAAAGCGTTCAGCATCAGTGATCTTCGTTTGTCTTTTTAATTTATTCCTTTTTACTAAAATACAAATGTCCTATTTCCTATGACAACGTTTCTGCAAGTAGGTGTAGTCGACCTAATTGTTAAATAGTTGAAAAGTCAAACAAAGCCTAAACGGAAGCTAATTATTTRTAGAGCTAAAAGGAAATAGTAAGATACGTAAACTCACTAACCTCTGGCCTTGCCTCGACAAGTAATTTCTTGACTGAAGTAAGAGCAAGCTCTATACGTCGTTGTCCTCCAACAAATGACATTCGGTTCAATGCATTAGAAAACGATTCTGCATCCTTAAATTCATTAAATCGAAATGATATTTGCGAATTTTCACCGTACGTAATTASAGCAATTCGTGATTGTCCTGTGTTCATGTTTAGTAATCTGGACATTTGTTTTACGAAACTCTTTTCACGTTCATAKTCGATGAGTCCAACTTCAGAAGAAGAGTCAATCGCAAATATAATATCAGCAGCGAAGTCAGGAGGTGCCCCTGGAAACAACGATAAACACTTGTGAGCTAGTACCTTCATAACAATGTAAAAAATAAAAATAAAAAAAGTCTTACTGATGCGGGATATTTTAAATACTTAGATGTACAAATTAAATACCTGTTCTACCAACTATTTCCTTGGCAATCAATCCTGCTCCAGGTAAAAGCTCTGCAGAAATTCCAACGGGGAAAATGTCTCCATCTCTAGCGACTGCATTTCGTATGCCCCAYTTTTCAGGCTCACGGCCAATAGCTACAACATAAGGTCTTATTCCTCTTCTCAATAAAGGTTTCACGGCATCTTTTAAAGGAATAAACCCCTTAATTGGAGTTTGCGGACCAGTTGTCACAAGGATAACTATTTTTGGGACATTATAGCGGCTAATGCTGAACGCATCAAGAGCTATTTTCATTGCTTCATCGATTCGTCGTGGTCCAACTTTATAAGGTGCACGAAGAACAAGCTTTTCAAAGGATTCTAAATTTCTGTAAGATCCAAATCTGCGAAAATAAAA